GGGGGGGGGGGGGGGGGGGGGGGGTTGGTGAGCATAAATGAGGATCAAATTCAAGCTAATTCATACCTATGAGAAGGAACATCTATGGATGTATAATGTTGGAGTCTGAACCAGGAAATGATGGTTTGCAAAGAGCGGTAAGCACAACCCCAGCCCTACAACACAAGTAGTTGTCATAATAATCGGAGTACTAGTAATTTTTTATCTTATCACACCTGAGAAGGGGGTATATTTTCCAGCACATCATAGATCATCACTGAAGCATATCAGTAGAGAGTAAAAAAATTCCTTCAAAAACAAACAAATTTTCCACAGCTTCTATCCATCTTATGCAGAGGAATGATTTTATATTGGCTTCAACGTTTCTTTTCAGAAGAGAGCAAGTCAAATGGCTATTTAATAGTCTATTCTACAAAATACATATATCTACGTGAACAAATTTACATGGTTCTTGTGCTCACGAGGAACTCCAACGCTTCCAAATTAAAAATATCATTGACCATCAATAGCAAGGAAGACAAATTTAACGGATAAGTTTTCAAATTTGGAGAAGCCCTAAAGGATAATATTATCAGTATAGGACATTAACAACACAGATAAAAACATTTTAAGTTTATTATTTCTTTTCCCCAAAGGATTTGAAGTAGTCTATTATTTTAACTTCGTAATATTCAGGTGAAAGTCCGTCTCTATCATTGTGTCTTTGATAATTTAATAAATTACAACTTCTAGGTAAATGGAAAGTTCGAATACCGAGTCATTGAAACCTTCTTGAAGATAATGATGGTACTCATACGACCCTTGAACAATAGACATTTGGCCACCAGAAACTGCATTATTTAAATTTGATTACTAAGAGAAGAATAACAGAAAAGACAATATTTGAGATCCATTATTAGCAACCTACCACCGCTACTAGGAATTCCAATATGAACATCTTTGAGCAAAAAGGAACCTGTTAAGATCATTAAACAAAAAGACATTTAGCATAGAAAATCCACCAAAAGAGAAAGGGAGAACAAAGTTTGGCATTGTTATGTACTGCATCTGAATAATTCTTACCCTTTCGTGGCAAATTGTCCTTCCTACTAGAGAAATCCAAGGCACTGGCAATTCTTAGTACAGGACGATCAAAAGGTAACCCCAGTCTTAGGTGTAGGGCTTTCCTTAATTCAACTGATTGGGAAAATGGTTAGAAGTACATAATGAAAAGTTAAGCACATGACAACAATAATACAATAGTAATAATCACATTTCCTCAATAATTATGCAAAGATTCACAAACCTGAAAAGAGAGTGGATACTTACAAATTAAAGGTGCCTGTACAATTAGTTGAAACACAATTTGACAATTTACCATAACTCTAACGACACTTATATTTTCAAGTTCAACCATATGGTGTCAATAAGCAAGAGTTGGCATATCAGAGGTCATACACTTTGGATTATACCTTGCTTCATTTCAGTCTCCCCATAAGTGAGTTCATAGGTAGCAGTTATTGGATGCAAAAATCCGGGAGGACAAAAATGATATGGCACTAGCTGCAGAAGCAAACATTGACGGATAAGATTTTGTATTTTCGGGGGGGGGGGGGG